TAAATACTGTACAGGGTATGACTTCATCAAACATCATCATCAGAAATACCATCATATATCATCATCAGAAATCTTGGGGACAAGACTCATAGCATCAGGGAGTCAAAATTTAATCAGCATCAGAAATTACTGACACACTACAAATAACTTTCCTTACAGTATTTGGAAAAGTAAATTTTCTCCATCTAGAATGAAGGGATTTTTGCCCTTGTAAATGAGCATGTACTGTACTACAGTGAACCCCAAAAGATCAAGACTAATAGGGACCACCTGTCCGAAAAAGCCGATTGTCCGAATCTTCCGGTGAATGCACTAAATCTATAAAAACAATAAGAAATGATATAAAACACACCAAAAGTACAGTACCGTATTTTACGGCATATAAGATGCCAACCCCCCCCCCCATTATAGGGAGTAGGGGAAAGGAAAAAATGCAGCCATAGTTTTCTTAATATACAGGTACTCCTCGACTTTCGACTTACGACCACCCGGACATACCGCCACAGCCGTATAAAATATTTTTCAAATTACGTATTTTTGAGTCCTGACGTTAGTGATCGCGCTGTGTGGTGACAAAATTAGCGTTTGTAATTCCCTTTAAAATGACTGGCAAGCGTAAAAGTGAGAGTTCTCGTGGTGCTGAGAAGAAAAAGAGACACCCATTTTAGATTTTCCATATTATTTTCGCATTTTCGACTTACGACCTGGTCGTCGGTCTCTAACCCCGTCGTAAGTCGAGGAATGACTGTATACAGTACCTGTACCAGCAAATGTGAGGAATGAATAAAAATAATACCAATAAATAAGTTACAATAAATTTTTTTTATTGCCAAATCAGTAATTAAAAGCCAAATGCGAATTTAACACAGTCACCATTTGCATTCATTCCCTGCTTTATCATAGCAACAGAGACCAGTTGTGACGCCGATTCCATAGCAACGCTCCCCACCCCCTAACACACTGTGCTCTCCTCCCTCCTCATTGAGCTAGTTAACTCGTGTGCAAAGTAATGTATATTCCCTTTACGGGTAGGTGTTTGCCCTTAGGACAATTATTTGTTTTTAATTTATTTTTCATAATATGTATGCAGGATGGTGTGTGCATGTAACTGAGTAAAAGTAAATAAAGTTATGTATATCTACCCAAAAATACGAGTTCAAAAACAACCATAACACCTCACAACTTGGCTCAGTAGCCTAGTAGTTAGTGACAAGTCTAACCTGGCTACAATGCCATGATTAATCACTATTAATTACTATTATATCAGATGCTAATAATAACAATAAATCTAGTGAAATATGGCAAGGAGCGAGGAGAGCTACAATAGCAGATGCCGCTGTAACTCGGTCATTCACTCGCTCCCAGGCTCCTGTTGCCAGGCATACAATCGAAATACAATATGTATAGGAGAAATACACATGTTGTAGTCTAATTTGAAAATGGTGAGGTGAACAGTGATGAACAAATTATATACAGTAAACGACACATTTACCTATGATAACATAATAAGAAACTTTGTATTATTACTAGAGTGAGTAAAATAATATTCCTGCAAACAGCAATTGACAACTCTGTTATGTTTCCTGCCTCGGGTACCTGTGGCCTGCACTCTGGCATCTTAGTTACACAGGCCCAAGATGGCCATTGTTCTGTTTTGGGAATGCTTCTTAGGGAGGCTTCTTAGTTCCCAGAACCCACAAATTTTGTCCGAAGGTTCCGAAAACCAGATTTACCAGGTCCATATCTTTGAGGGTTCACTGTATACAGTATAAAGTTATCTGTATCCCGCATCTTACATGCACTTAATTGTACAGTTGGGGTCAAAAGTCTTGAATGCTTGACAGTATTTGGCATGTAAGTACCTGAAGATCTTAGTTATTAAGGAGAGTTTTATCCCATTTTGTGGTTCATGCATAATATGTGATGACAAGTAGTGTTATTTGTCTATCCCAATCATGTATGTATAACTCCGAAGTAGATGCCAGATATTGCTAAGTGTTCAAGACTACTGACCAAGACTGTACATTACTTGAAACAAAGTACATTACAATTTCATCAAGATTATTTTCATCTGCTGGCAGGGCTATGTGCATGCATTCTAGCTTGGGTGATTGTGTTGTGCTTTGTGTGTGTTTATGTGTATGTAGGCAGAAGCTATTATGCATGTATAACTCCAGTATTTATACATGTAATGATGTGCTCATTTGCATGTACTCTTTTTATGAATTCCTTTGTGTCTTTTTGTATCCTATACACATACTGTAGTGTATATACAGTACAATACGTATATGCATTTTTACATGCCTGCATTCTTTAGTTGTATGAACCAATTTGTGTAGGCCTGTATGGGTGAGTATGTTTTTATGTGGTATGCTTATGTTCCTACTGTAATAGGATTACAGTATTGTATGTATACATTATGTGTTTGTGTTTATATTTGCATGTGTTTATGCTTGCTGTATGTAAGTTTGTGTTTATGTGCATTTATGCATAGGCATGTTTGTTCAGTATGTAGATGGTTGTAAGTGTTGTGTGTGCTGACCACAAGGATAACAATACAGTACCGTTCAGTGCTCTCCACCCTCCTGTTATTTTGTTCCACCATGTTAAGATGCAAATAGTTTGATTCAAGTTTTACGAAGGTAATCCACTAACCTATAATTTTATTTAAAATATGAGTGTACAGTATTACCTCTAGTTACTGTACATTATTGGATGAGGATACAATACTTAAATTTGTAGCGGACTAATAGTACATTTGTAAAGGTAATGGAAATGGGCTTCATCTTATTACACATATTTTTTTTACTGTCTTTCTCAATACAATGCACTTTATATATACAGTGAACCCTCACTTTACGAGGTTAATTCAACCCACGGCGGCCCGTGTAAAGTGAGAAATGCGTAAAGTGAACAACATAACATATGGGATTACCAATTGAAATAGAGACCGGGCCGACCCCCAAACTCCACTTTTTCAGACACAATACCTACTTTGTAGTAAAAATAACTTCTTAATTTTATGATGGTATGCACACACAATTAATAATTAAGAGAAATATCAATAATATTAGGTTTTTTAACACTTACATTAGTAGAAAAGATGGCTGGGCACACGGGGATGGGGGGTTGGTTCCGAGGCAGAGGGCAGATTATTGGCCCTCACCTGTATCACTTGTACCAATTGTATCACTATCCACCACAGAGGCTTGCAGGGCCTCTTTGTCAAACCCCTCAAAGTCCATATCCTCATCACTATCACTGACTTGGGCCGGCTGTGGTGGGTGGCAAGTGAAGAGCTCGGTAATGTTTTGATGACTGGGTTACCTTGTGCGCACCCTGCTCGCGCCACTCTCCGCGTAAAAGGGTACACACACCGCGGAAAGTGAGCATTTCGGTTTCGGCAGGGTACCGCGTAAACGTGGAAACGCGTAAAGTGGGACCGCGTAAAGTGAGGGTTGACTGTATATAATGCAAATCCATTATCAGATAAAGGAGAAAATTGCCATAGAAATGACAACAGTTTGTCTGTGTGATCAGCTTGAGGTATTACAACTAAATTATGTTTGACCACATATGAATTGAACCATCCAGGCCTAACTTAATGGTAGTTAAACCAAAAAGTAAGCTAAGATTAATTGGCAAGGTCAGGTCAGGTCAGGTCAGGTTCGGTTTTGTTGGTTCATTTCATCATGTGTTGGGATTGATTTAGTCCTGTAATTTCTGACTTGTAAACAGCTAAACATTGCATACCTGTCTTGGCCAGAGAGTAGTGTCAACCAGATCCGGCTCACAATGTATGTAGGTTTTGCCAATCTGTAAAAGTGGGCTGACGATAGGAAGAGCATCCATGCCATCATATTGTCAGGGCTAACTCACATAAATGAAATTTTTTTTTGTAAATTGGTGATGCTTACACAATACTCATTTTTCCATTTCTCTGATTCTGGATTTGCATTTCATGCTATAGAATAACTGTATATAGAATGACCCAGTCATAAAATTCAGAATGAGAAGACACCACTTTTCTCTACACCTTTATGTTTTTATTAATTGAAGATTAAAGTGTGCTAGCTAGTGTTCGCTGTCTGTTATCCACCCATCTATCAAAATAATACCAGGGTGACTCATTAGTTTCTGGTTGCTGTGAAGAAAATAATTTTGACCTTATCTAATACCAGTAGGTATTAGTTTGCACATTTTGTCTAATGTATAAGACACACTTAGAAGTAAAGGAGTATATAATGTTGTGGCTGCTTCATTCTGTAGTGTGCTGAGGAGTTTAAACAGTCATCTACCGTAATAGGTACAAAAATGATTAATGTTACAAAAAGATGGCTAACACAGTATCGCCTCAAAATTTTGATTGCTTCTTACTCTTAAGTTGAGTAGATATTTAGCCAGCTAACTACAGTATGTATAATAACCATGTAACTTTTTTCCAAGCTTATACTCGGTGAAAGTTAAATATCAGGATTCAAAATGTTACTAATGAACTTCTACAATTAGTTATTTTGCTTGACTGAAGTTTTATGCTATGTGAAAAACAGGCATGAAGAAAAGATTTTGTCATGGGAATAAGTATAAATTGAAAAGTAGGTTATGGTATAAAATTTGTCAAAAGATTACTTGTGAGTTTTAAGATTGGTGCAGTGGTTAGTTGTGTCTGATACTGTAGTTTATTGATACAGTATTGAACTTTTAGTTTCTGATTATTGTGTCGTCAAAGGAGTTTGCCGACATATTAGAACTGTGGGTGTAACACTAGTTTCATAGGGGTTCTGGTTGTCTGATGAAGTACCTGGGGGAACCAGGGGATTGATTGTTTGTGGGATATGTCATGTATTTAACTATAGGTGACTGTTTGGTTTCTTCAAAGTGTAGATTATTAATATATGTTTTCTTGAAACTTTCACAGTTTTGCTTGTTTACTTCCCCTTAAATTTAAGATATTGGTGTATATATTGATGTAATCCATAATGTATAAATTACCTCCTCAGCAATGCCCGGGCCCTCAGGAGCAGTGGGCAGTCAGGACAACGTGGGTACTCATGAACCGGGCGGTAAGTACCAAGTGTTTGTTCCACTCAGCCTGCCCTCCACCAGGCCTGTCAGTGTTCAGGCAGCTAACACTTCCCATAATATGTACTGAATGCTCCAATGCCCCAATTATTGTCTGATTCACAGTCATTCATAATTCACCTATTATCCTTGCATTTCAGAACTTTGTAATGCCATTTCTTTGTGATTACCATCCTGATTTTTTTAACCTTTTACCCATGTATTTTTTATTTTGTCTGCTGGCTGTTTGAAATTTAAATTTTTGCTGTGATGTTCTCACTTTTCTTTTACATTTTCATTCTTTATTCTAGATCACCATTTTGGCTATTTTTTCCTGAAACCTTACCTTATTTTCTTTTGTTAATAATTGATTGACTGTATCTCCCTCTTTATTATCAGCTATTTTAAATTATAGCCTATTAAGTTTATTCCATATTTTGTCTATGATTGTATTTATTCGTTTATTTGTGACTTGAGTTTTGTGTAAGACACTTGAACCATCAGGTTACTCATTAGATTACCAGTCATTTTATCAACAGCTTACCAGTCAATCTATCCACCACTATATATTTAGCATTGGGAGCTCATGCATTTGTCCGTCTGTGTCTTTGCCTCTCTGTGCACCTCACCTTGAAGTGTTGTCAACACCTGTTCCTCATTGCTTTTGTGTCTACCATAGGGAATGGGATTGTACCTCAGCTTAAAGCCAGGTGTGCACTTGTACTAGATTCTCCTTTGCTGTCATAGATGCACCTCAGAGACCAGTGGTTGTTTAGACTTTATCATTCTTTACTGTTTTAGTTTCATTTTGTGAAGGGATTAGAATGTCTACATGTAATACATCATTTGTCTGCTCTGACACAAGCAAAGGAGTGTGAAAGTTGAGAGTACATATGTACACTACTATTGCCTTGTGCTGTATGTGCTCTTTAATACTGTAGAAAAAGGTACTCAAGCTCAGTCATATATATTTTTTTATTAAGATTACCAGCAAAGCACTTGTATTGTGATATATATATATATATATATATATATATATATATATATATATATATATATATATATATATATATATATATATATATATATATATATATATATATATATATATATATATATATATATATATATATATATATATATATATATATATATATATATATATATATATTGAACTGTAATAATTAATGTTTACTATGTCCTGTTCTTATCTAAAGGTTAATTATATTTTAAAGCTTTGACTGGTACTTTAGTATGCTTGTATATTGCTTGACTTGAGTATTGCCCATGTGAATAAACACATGTTCACCACAGGCCTATTATGTTTTGAGGATCAGAATGTGATCATTGGAATATGTCATAGGTTTAGTGTTTTAGTTAGTCTTCATGAACACGATCACTCTCATCTTAGTGTTGTAGGTCCCTTATTTGTGCTGGCAGTTCACACCACTTCTGCATACAAATAATTCTTTTAGTGGATTACTTGCAGTGCACATACAGTACAGCATATTTATTTATTTACTAATTGTTTTAGTTCATATGCACACAGTTGCATACTATACAAGAGCAGCTTAGTTTTTTGCATTTTTTATTGATAATATTGATAGATTTCTATAAATCATAAATTCAGAATTTAGACATAAAATCTTGCTCTTAATATATAAATCAGTATTTAATATTTGGTATACAGTACAGTAAAATATTTCAGAGATTACAAGGTATTAAAGTTTTACAATATTATTTTCTGAACTGGTGTAATCCATGAATTTGATGCTTAGATATTTAATATCAGTAGGATGAGTGACAAGATCAGTGAGGAATGCACTTGCTTTACAAACTTGTGGTTAGGCTTATGGTTTTATTGTAACACAGTAAGGTTGTGTCTTATTATCCGAGGGTTGTGTGTGGTGACTCAAAGACGACACACCTGGGTGACAGTACAGATGTGTTTCATTGCTGCACATTCCTGGTCTTGGATGATATTGTAGGTCTGGAAGTCTTTTGTTGGTGGAGTAGTATTTATAATGTATGGATAGCACCCATAGGTTTCTGGTAGTTATTTCGATCTCTAGACTTTGATGTCCGGGTTGTGTAGAGACTGATTATTCTTGATAGATAATGGAGGACTTTTAGGAAAGGTTTGTTAGATTTTTGTTGGTCTTCTTTGCTACGTATTTAAGTTTTCTTTAATGATAGAGTTACTGTTTTTATTATAGAGGTTTAATTTGTATTGGTAATTTGATGGGGGGAGGATAAAGCTAATGTGAAGATGTGTGTATTAGTGGTGTATGGTTCATATTTCTCTCTTGTGCATATAGCTGTGACAATCATTACGCACTGTGGCATATTCTACACTCGTGTAGGCTATACTGTATAATGTGTGATTTAAACTACAGCTATATGTCACATGCCAGAACAAACACCCTGGGGTGTATTCTTGAGAGCAAAGTTATCAGTCAGTATTTCAGAAATGTGGATTTTATAGATTATGAGATAAATGTAGTAAATGGCTTGTAAACTGACAACTGCTGTGGAGGGCAGTGCTTGTTTGTTCTGCATGATGTGATATTTGTCTTTGATTAAGAAGAAAACATCAGTTTCCTTCATTCCTAGATTATTAATTTAAACTGATGGTTTCCTATTAGTATCCCTTGTTTGTTTGACTCTTGTAGGCTTTGGATTGCAGGTCTAAATGTGTGTTTTTGAGGGTTGACCTGTAGTCCAGAGTCTAGTGCATGCTCCTCTCTGTACTGTAGTCCAGGGCCTAAGTTTAGTTGGTGAATGTAGGGCAATAGGGACCGTTTTGGCCATGTAGGGATCCTATGGCCACGTGGCCAAATGACCGCCCACTGACAGTGGCCATCAGCGTGAAGAGGACTATTGGCTTAGCTTGGACCGTGGCTTGTGCTCTGGCCCGTGTGCTGTGGCCCTTGTGGCTGCCTGCTGCTGCTTGTCGGGGTGGCCAGGTGTTGAGGGAGCCTGTTTGGCCTTGTGTGGCTGAGGGTGGCTTGGGAAGGCCATGGGTCACTGTGGCCAGTCTGCCTCAAGTTTACTACTCTCACTCAGGAGCTGTTGGTGTTTGACAACCACGCTGGGAAAGTGATCATAATGCTCATGATATCATAATGATTGATGATAATAGACGGGCGGTGTTGGTGATGATGCCTGAGCCTGGACTGACTCATACTCACGTGGATCCTCTCCTCTGCAGCAGCGCCGGGCGGTGCTGTCTGTGAGGCTCTCAACCTGTCGCTGCGGCCACCGCTACCCCAGGCCAACGGAACGCTGCATCAACCGCTGCTCCACCACCACCACCACCACCACCATCAACAACAACAACAACAACCACACCACCACCAACACCACCAACCGCTTCATCATCACCACCACCACCTCCACCACCAACAGCAGCAACAGCAAATGACCGCCACTGCTGTATCAACTACGCCCATCAACCATGCTGCCACCACTGATGCCACTGAGACATTTGAGGTGAAGATTCACCCTGCAGTGGCAGTAGCTGCAGCCTCAGGGCTGGTGTACCCTGAGGATGCTCTAGATCTGGCCCCAGATAAGGTGGTTGGGCTGATGACAGTTGGAGAGGCAAAGGAAGATCGTGGCATGCTGGAGGCCTCACCAGAGTACAAGACAAAATTGTACCCATGTCCAGAGTGCCACAAAGTGTTCCGCCACCCCATGTCTCTCCACCACCACCGGCATGTGCACAAGGGGACTTACACCTGTCACTCATGTGGCAAGGTGTTTTCCCGACGCTGGGATCTCCATCGTCACTTGCACCGATCCAAGATGGGCTGCCGCCGCCCCAATCATGTGACTACAGCTGCTTCAGTGGTCACCTCCACTCCTGGGACTATAACCACTAGTACCACCGCTGCCACCGCTGCTGCAGCTGCACACCGAGCCGAGTTCGCTCTCGATCTGAACAACCCCCCTTCCAACTGACTGTGATATCACTAGGCGATACTAGAGCGTAGAGACGTACATATTATAGGGACTTGTATTTGTTGTGTTGTTGCGACCAGTGCTACTATGCCTGGCACTGACTCTGTGATCACCAGCCAAAGATGGAGTGCAGGCGCCCCTGTCATAAATATTATGCCGACACCACAGCGCCACGTCCGAGATTATGCCCACATTATTATACCCTTCTCAAGGACACACACTCCGTTTTGGTCTGTTTGAGTTAAATTTAAGAGCAATGGAAAAAAATTCCCTCCTTGCATCATTGCTTGGTTTTTAGTCAGTTGATTTTAGTCATATAGACTGCCTGTATGTGATAATACCCCAGTGATGCTTATTAATTCTTCACGTTTTGGTTCTCTGTGATATTTGCTTTATTTTAGTTGCTGCCATTACCGTTCTGGCAACAGATCCTGTAGGCTTGTTGTCTCTTTACTCCCATCTCCTTTCCTGCCACTCAACTATATATATATATATATTTAGAGTGTTGTTGGTATTGTTGTTCCTATATACCTTACATTATCAGCTACCAGACGTGAATGGTATGTCGAAACTTAGGGCAATAATAAATGTTATTATACTGATGGCTGCCAATCATTATTTGTTATGTCCTTATATTCTCCCCTCATGGTGCCAAAACTTGTATATTTAATCTGAAGATCTATAAAAGAAGGAAAGTAGTATGGAATATATAACGTATATATTTTGATTTAAAATGGATTATGCAATTGACAATTCATCTAAGTACAGTACTGTACATATAATCAAATTTTAGGTGGAAATAAAACATTTTGAAGAAGTAAACAAAAAAATAATACTGTAGTAGAATAGTTATTAGGTGAAGGTAGGTTTCACTGTTATTCATAACAAGATACCTTTTTTTTTATTCCAATCCAGCTGTTATGGGAAAGACAGAGAAGCCTTTTTATCATAAAAAAAAAACTTTTGGTTGCCTTGGTTTTGAAGAGTTACAGGATATCGTTTGAATTACCATATTTCAGTTTCCCCTTTATTGCTAACA